GAGTCTGGTGGTTTGTTGAAGAAGTGCTGCAAAAGGTCTCAGGTTACTTATGTAACCATGGTTCCCTGAGTAGGGAACGAGACACTGCGTCCTCTAGGCTTCTTGCCATGCTTCGAACGCAAGCTTCAGATGAAGAAGTGAATGATGTGTGCTCCCGGCGCTTATTTATACTATAGTCGCACCGGTAGTGACGTCATGGCTGTCGCTGGCCAACAAGTTGGTGTTTTTCAATGTATGCTTCAGACACGGGTCACGACGAGGCGTTCCCCATAGCGACCCCTAGAGGACGCAGTGTCTCGTTCCCTACTCAGGGAACCATGGTTACATAAGTAACCTGAGACGTTTTTTCTCTGAAATTGGTGAGCTGAAATGTCCTTCCGGTTCTTCTATTAATTAAATGAATGAAATGTGACCTACTGTGTGTCTTTCCAAGCAAATCCTTGTTATAAAAATATATATTTTTTCTTTTAAAATAATAATACAGTTTTTCTTAAGTTCTCCCTATCAAGCTGAACAGCAAAGCTGTTTTCTTTTCTAACAGAAAGTCTCAGCAGCTTAGAGAGAGAAATGGATAGCAGCAGAGACAGTAGAGCATCATAACGACATCTAGTTTTTCCCCTTGAACGTCATCTGCTCGCTCGTTCATTCGGGAAGAAGAAGAGCTTTCAGGCCTCAGGAGCATTTGCATAATGGTGTTTTTCATCAAAGTAGAAACATCTCACCAACTGACCAATAAAAAAAAATCTCAAAAGCAAAAACAGCACAATCCCACAAATTCTATAAAAACAAGTATTGTACTTGAAAACTACAAGTTAAGAGAAAAACACAAGAGGTCAGCCTTTACTTTGTCTCGCGTGTCTCTGCTCAGTCATTTTATAAGGGGAAAAGTAAAAATCAGACATTTGAAAAAGAAAACAAAAGAACAAAAATTCCAATGCTACAAAGAAACCACAAACATATGTACAAGACCCTGTATTCCTTGAGAGAGTATGAAGGAGCAGTCTGTGAGAGAACGAACCTCCCCAGATAGCACACATACATCTGTACGTCTGTTAAAGATCGTTTGATCTGGAAAGCATCTGCTGTACAAACATCTGACAGACGTCTGTAAGAAATCAGTTTTACAAACATTCTAAATCAAAGACGTCTATTAGATGTCTTTAAGATGTTTATTTGACATCTAATAGGAAACGTCCTATAGATGTATTGCAGATGAGCAAAGACTATAAAAAATGTAAATGCAGATGTAAAATATACATCTCTGTGATGTACGTGTGTTATCAAGGGAACCTCAGTTAGCACATGTACATCTGCAAGATGTCTGTTAAAGATCATTTGATCTGGAAAGCATCTGCTGTGTACAAACATCTGAGAGATGTCTGAAAAGTAATCAATTTTGCACACATTATAAATCATAGATGTCTTTTAGATGTCTTTGAGATGTTTATTTGACATCTAATAGGAAACATCCTATAGATGTATTGCAGATGAGCAAACACTCTAAAACATTGGTCTCAAAGTCAATTCCTGGAGGGCCACAACTCTGCACAGTTTAGCTCCAACCCTAATCAAACACACCTGATCCAGATAATCAAAGTCTTCAGGATCACTAGAAACTTCCAAGCAGGTGTGATTTGAAGCTGGTTGGAGCTAAACTCTGCAGAGCTGTTGCCCTCCAGGAATTGAGTTTGAGACCACTGCTCTAAAAAAAAAAAAAACGTCTTCCAGATGTAAATGCAGATGTCAAATAGACATCTCTGTGATGTATGTGTGCTATCAGTGTCCCCGTCAGCCTGTCTTCGTCGCGTCCCTTCGGTTTCCGCCCCCTGCGTGTGAATCGCAGTGCAAAGTCAACAGCAGCACTTTGTAAGGGTCTTAATAAGTGCCATTTGCAGAAACATCCCTTCCCGACGGCGTCACCAGATCACGCTGGAAATGCTGGTCTCTCGGGGCAGCAGCGGAAGCATAGCGTTGTTGACGTGCTGCTCCTCCAGCGCCTGCTGCTGCTCACGGCCCGGCTTGCACTGCACCCGCTGGCCATTCAGCAGAGTCATGGGGATGTTGCAGTAGGTGTGCTGGCTGCCCAGCGAGGACAGCGGCGGGAGAGTGCCGGACGAGGGAATGTCGTACTCGTAGCTCCTGTAGTAGTGCTTCTGCCGCAGCTGCGTGTGGTAAGTGTTGTGGAAGGTGGAGCGCAGCTCGGGATGCGCGGTGGCCATGGCGGTGGAGGTGGCCGCGGCCATAGAGATGGCAGAGACGGTCTGCAGCTCTCCAAACGGGCCCTGCTCGCTGACGTCCAGCACCTGCTCGTGCGACAGCTTGGGCTCGGGCCGCTTAAAGGGCATTTCGTACTGCAGCTGCTTCCAGAACTTGGAGTTGAGCTTGCTGCTCTTGGGTCCCGGCCACTTGATGACCGTCAGCAGTTTGATGGTGTGTTTGAGAGCCTCCACCTCCTGGTAGTTCATGATTCCCCGAAGCTCGGCACATTCGATGAGGATGACTTTGATCTCGCCACTGACCATCATGTTGCGCAGCCGCGTCTCCAGCTCGAAGATGCTCCAGCCACGCCTCACCACGTAGTTGGGCGTCATCACGATGATGAGGCGTTTGCTCTGGTCAACGCAGCGAGCCACATCCTCGATATACGCTGAGAGAGAGAGACAGAGCGTCAGTGGCTTCCACAGCTTCAAATCCGGCAAACATATCAATATCATTCTTGCTTTTATTCAACCAGTTTTGCTTTGAATATGACAGCATGCAGTTAAAACAGAAGAAAACGCAAATCTAATGTGATCTACGCTGTAAAAAAATGTTTTTAAAGACACTCTTTGTGAAATTTACTAGCAAATTATGAGTGAAATCTGATTTAAAGTCAATTTTGTTCTGGGTAAATACTGCCATAGCACAGCACTGTATGTAAAACTCTCTGTCAAAGAACTTCACTAAGATGTGAAATAAAACCAGCAGAATGGCTCAATGAACACACTGAAAACATAGAAGGGGGAACAGGACAGACATTGAACACAAATACTCATCTGAACAAGACCCTGTGGTGGTTCCTAAGTTTTATATATTAATCTAATACAGCATAGCTGAGAAAACCAAACACGTTCAGTACTGCGTTACTCTGGTCTAAACCTGACAAATGGGGCTGCAAATGACTTTCATTGATTGGTCACAACTGTGGCTTCAATCTGGTGAAAGTGAGAGTTATCTGTGTGGGTGTGTGTGTGTGTCTGTCAGATGACCACACCATAGGACTGGGTAATATGTAAAAAAATATCTTAACAATAATCACCTTAAATAATATATCGCGATAAACAGTAATATTGTCTATCCAAGACCCGCCACCGCTGGAAACACCAATGCCAACGATAAAAACAATTTATGCACCATAAACACAAAACCATGTTCAGTTTGGCTGCACTTTATCTAATGATAGCCAGCGATTCAGTTAGTTTAATTATTAACATGTTAAAGGTTGGTTTTACTTTTCTTAGTTTCTTAGTTTGTGCTTAAACTATCAGAAAACATTAGCTTTTCTGCTCTGTTCTTATTAAATGTGTTCGAAATGAATTTAATTTTGTGAGGAGAACTGTTGAGAAAAGTTGAATAGAACCCAATTTTAAGTTCATCATGGTGAAGGTGGACATTCTGCTGGTGATTGTAAGAATGATAAATGCATGTTGGTGTCACATAGTAATGTCTTGAATAAAATACGCCTATTTTTCAGATGTTTCTCTTTCTTTTTGGCATTATCACCTGAGTAGACACCTTTCATGATGGTAAGTTTAATTTCCTTGATTATAACATTTGTAGCACTGTTTTTAAACTTGTAGTCAAGCTATAATTAGTTAAAATGCAATGCACACAATGTGCTATAATGGGGCTGCCAACACTGGAAACTGAATACCCTTTTACTTTAGGGTATTCAGTTTCCAGTGTTGGCAGCCCCATTATAGCACATTGTGTGACACATTGTATAGCACACTGAAGAATACCCTAAATAAGGATAAAGGATGTGGGAACGCATCTCCTGGATAATCATATACACAGACACATGTTGCCATTACAGTAGTCAGTGCCGAACAAAAGGCAAATAAAATACAGGTGTTACAAAATTGATTCAGTCTATATCAGTGAGTGATTTTCTTTTTCTTTTGTACTTTGATTAACATGAATGACAGGCGGCAGCGGGTTAATGCTGCTGTCAATGCACAGATGCAAAACACCCGTGTTTTCTTTCTTAACTGTTTACATTCACTTAAGACATAACCATCTATGTTTACGGGGATATTTTGATATTGTCAATAATCATCTGTTACCTGACTCTTGTCATCGACATTGTCTATATACAATACTATCATCATATCGCCCAACCCTACTACATCAGTACAGTAACACATCTAGTCAAAAAGGTCTTATTGTTAAATGTAGTCATCAAGCTTTATGAGTTCTATCTTATCTCTTCCCTGTCTCTCTCTCTAGCCTTACTTCACAACAAATGAAATGGAAGAACATAATAACACTTTCCAAACCTCACCCGTCCAAAACCACTCGCTCTCTAACAGGAGAAACTCCCAAAGCCTCTCTTAGACTCATCCAAGTCGATCGCTTTATCTCATTTTCTACATACACAACATATGATGGTGTACAGTTCAACCTGAATGCCAGTTAAACTCAGCGCCACGTGCCAATTTCCCCCAAAGGTGAAGTCTGCAAAAAGGTGCAAGTCAGATTTGTTGACACAAGTGGAAAAGGCCATGGAAGAATACCTCTAAGGAGTCTTGTGTCATCCTGGAAATGATCATTGGTGAAACCTAGACATAAATATTTCAACATTGAAAGTCTGATCAGCCAATTCAGCAGAAAGTCAATCAGAGAAACAAACAAGCGAGGACTTCCACAAGAGAAACTGGCATAACTGTGTCTTTTTGCCTTAGGATTTTCAGTTACGATCACCAGTTTATCCAGTTTAATATGGGACTTGTAGCTGCAGGGCTAACAGAGCTAACAGAGTAACATACGCTTACACTTCCCTTCATTTTAGTTGTTCACATCCGTGAAGTAATTTACATCAAACACGGCTTAAGCTGCTCAGTGAAGAGCCAATAACTCCTAAACACAAACATGAATCAATGCTTTCTTAGCCCAGATTGTGAGCACCTCGTCCCATATTAACATCTAACAGTCCCCGGACAACAGACATGAATGTAGACAAAACACACACGCAAATGTGTTAAATAAAAGTGAAAAGGGCAAGACAGAAGAGTCGAGTCAGACCAGCAAATAAAAACATACGAGCAAACAAGAAGCAAATCATGTTCAAGAAGCTTCGCTCAAAGCACTGTTAAAAATATTACTTTGAATTGAAAGAAAATTACCGACCAAACAAAAAGCTTATAAAACAATAGATACTTGATGCTGAAAAAATGATGCTGAAAATAAACATGAAGCATTTGATAGGCTGAAGATGCAGCACTACACACATACACGTTTACACACACTCACACACACCTAACAACAAATGCAACTTACTTCCAGTTGGTATCAAGTCCCTGTCAGGAATGAAGAGTTTATACCCATAATGCTTTTCCAGAATGTCTGGCAGAATCTCCAAAGCAAAACGTTCCTCCTCTCTGGTTTCCTGACTCCACTGGTCTGGATCCACTTTTGTGTAGGACACGTATGCATCGTAGTCTTTATTTTCTTAAAACACACACAGAATGGAGAATAACAGTCAAACAGATTTCCTCCACACAAAAGCAGCATTCATAACCTGCAACTGTAGCAGCATTTATGATCCTGAGTGAAAACGACACTATTCCCTTCACACCGGCTGCGTTCATGAACGATCCAGATCTCCAAAGCGCATGAAAGGTTTGAATTGGTACTTGGTACTTTTCTTCGTTTATTTGGACAGAAATCACCTTGTAGAGAAAGCTTGCGGATCATGAGTTTGAGTGTGTCTATGAGGAAGCATCAGGTTCTTTATCGGCTTCGGCAGAACCTGCTACACTGATGTCGACTGAGAAGATCTGTCTAGCTCTGTCTGTCAGGCCATTAAAATTAGCTTCTGTCTGCCTGGAGAGTCACAACAAGAGACCCTCTGATAATGAATTAAAGTAAAAGGCGTTTTACTGTCCTTTTGCCTCCCTACTTCTCATCTTCCTCCTCCATCAGCTTCAGAGGCACCGGTTAACACCCGCAGGCTTTACCGAACCAAAAGCAGAAGTAACGACTCTCAAAGAAAAGCCCCACTGGAGCAAAATTTACATCAGAAAACTGAGAAGATCAAAAACATTGGAACATCAATAAAATTTGATGTAAGCAATTAGGAAAAAGGGCACGAGAAACAGCTGACTAAAGGTGTTGGCTCATACGGTCATTGTGCAAGTTATTTAACAGCAATGATTAAAAGAAACTCTTATGATTATTTATTAGGAAATTATTTATTTATTTATTTATTAGGGGCTTCAATATTTATTCTTATTCCTATATGCAATCAGCCTATATCTGAGGGACACAAAACCAACCAACACTTAATCTTAGGGATATGTTAATGTTCATGAAAATATATCTGTTCAATAAAGCATTTTATTGCCTTGTGCCTCTTCACTGATTCCTGTAATGTGAAGGAGAAACTGGTCGACCATAACGGCTCAGGAATATTGATGAATTCCACAGTGCTCTATATAGATTGTTGAAACTTCTTTCTAAAATTCCTTACCTCCGTCCACATCCTCACTGCCAAAGTGATTTCTGTAGAAGAGCATGAGTTCAATTCTGTAACACTTATACAGGGACACCAAAAATATCAACATCAGCAGAATGGCTCCCAAACCTCCAGCCAGCTCCACCGTATACATGAGTTCTGCTGAGAGACAGACAGAGAGACCGAGACAGTTATAATCGACATACATCAGCAAACGCTCGCTCTGTCAATCAACATTGTGATCAGGTTAGACTGAAACGTCTCTCCATCTGTTTAGAACATTGTTCTTTCCATCCTGTTTGCATTAAACATGTCAAACAAATACCAAAGTGAGAGAAATCTTCCTGCACTCCTGTGTTTACCAGTACAGACTGATCACACTGTCTGATGACTTGTCCACGATGAATAAAAGTACAGATATCCTAATAACATATTACTCAAGTAAAAGCACAAAAGCATTTGATTTCTAATGTACGTATTAGAAGTTATAAGTACTGATCGGTTAATGTTTTGTTTTTTGTTTTTTTTTACATATATTTAAGAATTTTATATCATGTTTTTATATAATCCTACTGCTCAAAATACCTGGTGGAGGAGGGCTTGTCATTCACTAACAAAACATTAAATATTTTAAAATATAAATTAGGGTAACTGACACTTTATTTGTGCAAACAAGTGGGGGGAAAACACAATCTAACATATAGTATTTAAAAAGTGAGGAAAAACAATATGTACTGTAAAACAGACATCACATAGTGCAAAATGTATAATGTTTTAAGAAGAACACTGTGCAAACATACTAGTTTAAAGTTAATTTGAAATGGCTTTGGCAGCAGGGAAGATGCATGGGCATAAATTTGTTATTTTAATGTCAGATTAGGTTTTTACCCCGTTGAGACGGTGATACAGAAACATGGACACGTCCACATTCAAGCATTTAGTTTTAAATTTCATATCTGCTTTTGCAGCAGATTTACTTCACAAACAACCTTGCTAGTCACAGAAGGTGATTTTGTGGGACTCACTCTGACCGGATCATTTGAGTCAGTGAGTTATTGACTGGAGAACCGCGCAGAACCTGATTTTACCAAGTGCGACATGTTCCTGGAACTTTGTTGACCCTGGAACAACATTGTGATAACCAATCAGATTTGAAACACCAGTTTATAGTTTTTGTGAAGTTTAGGCTTACAATCAGTGTTTGGTGCTTGTACATCAGTATCATTCATCTATCATTTCCTCTGATTTTAGGGATTACTCATGGTTAAGGTTAGATTTAGGTGTAGGGATATGGTCAAGACTAAGTTTTTGGGTTAAAATGTTGTTCCAGAGTCAACAAAATATGTTGACTTAGGAACACATCTAGCTCAGCAAAATCAGGACATGCGGAGAACCGCTGCTATCTGATCAGTCCAGTTCACAATTGAATTGTGTGATTTGTGAACCAATTTAAGAGGTTCATTAAAAAGAGCATGTGACAGTTTGAATATTTGAAAAATGTACTTAAGTACAGTAATGAAGTAAAATAATTTGTTACTGTCCACCATTGAAGTGCAGGTCATTCAGGGGGCTGTCTGAATGAGGCGAAGACCACTGATGTGTTTGTGATGTTCTTCTTCTGTGTCTGTGTCTGAGAAAGTCCCCCACTGCTGTGCTATTAAACTGAAGAGGATCATTAGCCTCTGATCGGCCACAGATGAAGATCAATCCTCTGTAAATGGGCAGAGTTCATGCTGTGACAGACCTTCGTGTCACGTCAGGTCTGCATTAGCAGCTCTGTTCATCGCCAGTGACATTTCGGATTGTGTCACAGAGCATAGATGATGGCTGCTTTCGTGTGTTTGTGTTCAATGTTCTGGAATGAAGGATGGACGCTGATGAATTCACTGTTTGTCAGAGGAAACGGCCGCATTGATGCATCTGCTGGGAATTAGAGCTGTGCCATTTTTCTCAATGTGTCTGTTGGTAAAGGAAGCGTCTAGTGTTGATAGATCCCACATGTTTTAGGATCTGATGGTAACTGGTCATGAAAAGCGTAACTCTCAGATGTGTGAGTGCTGGGCAGAACACCAACAAACTCAACACGACGTGTATTTGTAAGCAAACAGATCTTTCTGTTTCCCTCATCTGAGCCATTGGACTTAAAATCAAGTGTCAAGTGTTGCAGTGGATTCGAATCAGTCCATATGGATGTGTATTTACTAAACAGCACTGAAGGCATGAAATAAACATGAAGAGTGAATCTCAACTGCAGCATAATCTGCCCAACTTCATTCTCACAGTCAATCTCTTTCATGTTCAGAGTAAAGAGGATCGGTCTGCCATCAAAGCCATTTTCAGATTCATATTTTAAAAGAGAAATGTTTTACTATGTAAAAATATTCTCAACTTAAGGCTCTAAGAAAGAAACAAACCTTAATATCCAGCTAAGATGTTAAGAAGCATCATTCACAATCAACAAATGCAGACCTGTCCGAACTCCGCGATTAAAAAAAACAAACAACAACAACAAAAACAAAAAAAATAAAATACATTGTAGAAAAAGTAAACCATCTTACTTCAAATAATATAGTCACAAACAATAACTGTGTTTCCCCCAATTCAGGCCTTTTGGAAAATCAGGAAGTGATACCTGTTGCCAGAAACTGGTCACATTGAGCAATTACAAACAGATTTTACAGTAAAACTACTTTAACATTGGCTTGTTTTTCACCAAAACTAGCTTATAAATGATCAGTGAGCCACATGGACATAATTTCTGCTCTACCATAAACAACATAAAACAAAATGCAGTCCTGCAAAAAATTATCTCTATAAAGAATCTCTGCATCTCATTGCTAGTTTTACTTGATCTTAGTGCTGCGTTCGACACCATAGATCATGACATACTCATAGATTGATTACAAAACTATACGGGTATTCAAGGGCAGGCTTTAAGATGGTTTAGATCCTACCTGTCCGATACACAGAATCTCTTGAATCTCTACAATTGCAACTAGACGGATGTACTGTTACTTCCTCTATGGTCAAAAATCAGGGTCTTCTATTAGACAGCAACTTGTCTTTTGAAAATCATATTTCCCATGTTACAAAAACAGCATTCTTCCATCTTAGAAACACTTACATGTTACCTGTTTCTGATGCAGAAAAGCTAGTTCATGCATTCATGACCTCTATACTGGACTATTGTAATGCACTGATAGCTGGTTGTCCTGCATCTTCAATAAACAAGCCACAGGTGGTCCAAAATGCAGCGGCTAGAGTCCTTACCAGGTCAAGAAAATATGATCATATTACCCCCAATTTTACAGTCTCTGCACTGGCTACCTATTAAGTTCCGTATCAGTTACAAAATATTATTACTTGCCTATAAGGCCCTTAATGGGTTAGCTCCAGCGTACCTAACTAGTCTTCTACCACGCTACAATCCATCACGCTCCCTTGCTATAAGTTTGATTGCATCATATAATAATTGCTGTTAATAGTGTTCATCGTCTGTTTGATTACGTCTTTAATTGATTTTTCCATACATTTCTGCCATATGTACATTAACTGACAGTCACCACTGATAAGCGACTACTAAATATTGTAGAAACTTAATTTTCTGTACAGCTGCTTTGCAACAATTTGTATCGTGAAAAGCACTATACAAATTAACTAGAATTGAATTGAATAAACTTATACTGGAAAAAACGCCTTCGTAATGTACACTTCATTTTTGGAAATATTGTGGACTTGATTGCACAGACACTATTGGAAGAGAACTGATCTAAGCTGGACATTACTGAATCAACTGAGTTTAACTGAAATATTTACTGCTTACTATTGTCCTTTTTTAGAGCTGCTTTACAGCAGAATTTAATTTTGTTTGCATTATTGACACACTATTTTCCTGTTTAACACTGTATAGCTGCTTTGACACAATCTGTATTGTATAAAGCGAAACATACACTCATTACCAGCAAACACATTACATCACATACGAACATACATCACATTACCAGCAAACATACACTCGTTTTCATCCTTCTCTCCACTCTCTGAGGCAGAAGTCTCTAAACTCATCCTTTCCAATCATCCTACTACTTGTCCGCTTGATCCTATTCCATCTCATCTCTTTCAAACCATTTCTCCTGCCGTTGTACCTGCACTCACTCACATCGTTAACACATCCCTTCACACTGGTGTTTTTCCCTCAACATTAACCAGGCTCGTATAACCCCACTTCTTAAGAAACCCACTCTTAACCCAACTCTTCTAGAGGACTACAGACTGATTTCCCTTTCACCTTTCATTGCAAAAACACTTGAACGAGTTGTGTTCAACCAAGTCTCAGCCTTTCTCACACAGAACAACCTCCTGGACAGCAACCAATCTGGCTTCAGAAGTGGACATTCGACCGAGACTGCCTTGCTTTCAGTTGTTGAAGCCCTAAGACTGGCAAGAGCGGCTTCCAAATCTTCTATACTTATTTTGCTGGATCTGTCTGCTGCTTTTGATACGATGAACCACCAGATTCTCCTGTCAACACTATTGGAAAATGGCATCTCAGGAACCGCACGCCAGTGGTTTGAGTCTTACCTCTCAGATAGGTCCTTCAAGGAATCTTGGAGAGGTGAGGTGTCCAAGTCGCAACATCTAACTACTGGGGTGCCTCAGGGCTCAGTACTTGAACCACTTCTCTTCTCTGTCTACATGGCATCACTAGGTTCTGTCATTCAGAAACATGGCTTTTCATATCACTGCTATGCTGATGACACTCAACTCTACCTCTCATTCCATCCTGATGATCCGACGATAGCTGCTCGCATCTCAGCATGTCTAACAGACATTTCTTGTTGGATGACGGACCATCACCTTCAACTCAACCTGGCTAAGACAGAACTGCTTGTGGTTTCAACAAACCCATCACTTTATCAAAATTTCACCATCCAGTTAGGCTCATCAACCATAACTCCTTCAAAAACAGCTAGAAACCTTGGAGTTGTGATTGATGATAAGCTGAATTTCTCAGACCACATTGCTAAAACTGCCCGGTCCTGCAGATTTGCTTTATACAACATTAGGAAGATCAGGCCCTTTCTTTCAGAACATGCAACACAACTCCTTGTTCAAGCTCTTGTTCTATCCAGGCTGGACTATTGCAATGCTCTCTTGGCAGGTCTTCCACATCCTTCTCTTCACTCTCTGAGGCAGAAGTCTCTAAACTCATCCTTTCCAATCATCCTACTACTTGTCCGCTTGATCCTATTCCATCTCATCTCCTTCAAGCCATTTCTCCTGCCGTTGTACCTGCACTCACTCACATCGTTAACACATCCCTTCACACTGGTGTTTTTCCCTCAACATTTAAACAGGCTCGTATAACCCCACTTCTTAAGAAACCCACTCTTAACCCAACTCTTTTAGAGAGCTACAGACCGGTTTCCCTTCTACCTTTCATTGCAAAAACACTTGAACGAGTTGTGTTCAACCAAGTCTCAGCCTTTCTCACACAGAACAACCTCCTGGACAGCAACCAATATGGCTTCAGAAGCGGACATTCGACCGAGACTGCCTTGATTTCAGTTATTGAAGCCCTGGAAGACTGGCAAGAGCGGCTTCCAAATCTTCTATACTTATTTTGATGGATCTGTCTGCTGCTTTTGATACGGTGATCCACCAGATTCTCCTGTCAACCCTATTGGAAAATGACATCTCAGGAACCGCACGCCAGTGGTTTGAGTCTTACCTATCAGATAGGTCCTTCAAGGTATCTTGGAGAGGTGAGGTGTCCAAGTCGCAACATCTAGCTACTGGAGTGCCTCAGGGCTCAGTTCTTGGACCACTTCTCTTCTCTGTCTACATGGCATCACTAGGTTCTGTCATTCAGAAACATGGATTTTCATATCACTGCTATGCTGATGACACTCAACTCTACCTCTCATTCCATCCTGATGATCCGACGATAGCTGCTCGCATCTCAGCATGTCTAACAGACATTTCTTGTTGGATGACGGACCATCACCTTCAACTCAACCTGGCTAAGACAGAACTGCTTGTGGTTTCAACAAACCCATCACTTTATCAAAATTTCACCATCCAGTTAGGCTCATCAACCATAACTCCTTCAAAAACAGCTAGAAACCTTGGAGTTGTGATTGATGATAAGCTGAATTTCTCAGACCACATTGCTAAAACTGCCCGGTCCTGCAGATTTGCTTTATACAACATTAGGAAGATCAGGCCCTTTCTTTCAGAACATGCAACACAACTCCTTGTTCAAGCTCTTGTTCTGTCCAGGCTGGACTATTGCAATGCTCTCTTGGCAGGTCTTCCAGCCACTTCTATCAAACCTCTACAATTAATCCAAAATGCCGCTGCAAGATTAATCTTTAATGAACCGAAAAGAACGCATGTCACACCTCTGTTCATCAATTTGCACTGGCTACCAGTAGCTGCTCGCATTAAATTCAAGGCATTAATGTTTGCCTACAAAACCACCACTGGCTCTGCACCCATTTACCTAAATTCAGTTATGTGCCCTCTAGAAGCTTGCGTTCTGCAAGTGAACGGCATATTATTGTGCCTTCTCAAAGACGCACAAAATCACTTTCACGGATTTGTCATTAACTGTTCCTTCCTGGTGGAATGACCTGCCCAACTCAATCCGAGCAGCTGAGTCCTTAGCCATCTTCAAGAAACAACTAAAAACACATCTGTTCCACCTTTATTTGACCCTCTAACTCTAACACTTTCTATTCTATTTAAATCTACTTTATATATTTATCTTCTTTTTTTATAAAAAAAAAACACTAGCTTTTCTATTCTATTTTTTCTATTCTATCTACTTGTTTTTCTTTGTGTGTGTGTGTGTATGTGTGTGTGTGTTTATATGTGTGTATTAGATATATATATATATATATATACATACACACACCTTGCTATGTGTACTGCGTTAGGCTAACCGAGACTTGTCATTTACACATATATACTGTTGCTCTTTTGTTAGTTTTGTCTGCTTTTATTGTCCTCATTTGTAAGTCGCTTTGGATAAAAGCGTCTGCTAAATGACTAAATAAATAAATAAATAAAAAATCTCAATAAATTAGAATGTCGTGGAAAAGTTAATTTATTTCAGTAATTCAACTCAACACACACCTTGCTATGTGTACTGCGTTAGGCTAACCGAGACTTGTCATTTACACATATATACTGTTGCTCTTTTGTTAGTTTTGTCTGCTTTTATTGTCCTCATTTGTAAGTCGCTTTGGATAAAAGCGTCTACTAAATGACTAAATGTAAATGTAAATAAAGAGCTATAGAAATAAAGGTGACGATTTGACATGTATGTTCTTTCAAAAATAATTTGAATAAACTAAATAGAAGATTATAGAACTGGCACAGAAGAGTTTTGAGCAGCTCACAGCTGAACAAACGATGGTTTGATATGAACGATGGTCTCTTACCCCTTTTGCTGAGCTGGATGTTGGCTTGTCGTCTGCCGTGGCCATTCTCTACATAACAGGAGTAGTTTCCCAGGTCACTCTCCTCTACGGTGTCTATGGTCAGCGAGATGGACACCTCCTGCTCTCCCAAGTGCTCCCGAATAGTTCTGGATTGGAGGAGAGAAGAAGGGGAAAACTGTTCAACAATAAACACCTATGATTTGAATCAAATTCACTCTCAAGTTCATGCTGAGCGCAGCCTCCTCCCTGTGTTATCGCTCCTCTATATCTGTTCTGTTAGCCAGACATCCTGACCCACAAAAAAAGTCAATTTCTTGAAACTATGAATCTGTTTTTTTGTTTGTTTAAAATCAAAGACAATATGGGTGAATTACATCATGCTATCATGCTCCAGCATTCATCACTGGCTGAACACACAATCCTCACCATGCTATCACTAATAAGCAACATATTTCACACAACAGTCAGGATGAATAAAAAGGGCTACAATTTAATTGGCTGTGGATCTAAAAATAAAAACACACAAAAAGAGTTTGTGCTCTAGAAGAGATTCTCTGTGGTGACCTGATGTGGATATAGATGTGATTCCAAAATCTGACCGTGTACATTTGGGAAATGTTTCCTCTATTTCTTTAGTACTTTTCACTACATTTCTTCAATACATTCAGGATTCACATGCACACTTATAGCATATTTTCCTACTCCACCTACATACTGTAAAATTATTATTCTAGGAACTTTTTCCCATTTGATGATAGCATTTTTTTAACCTGCATACAATTTCTGTACATTTTAGCTGCATTTTCAAAGCTTTGTGTGCTATTCAAAGGTAAATTCTAAATTATATCAAAATAACACTGTTTGATTTTGTCTTGAAAGTTTGACATTTGTAAAACAGATGTATGCTTGAGGGATGATTTTTATAGTTTTCAGAAAATGTAACTCAGCTATTGAGGAAAATATTAACACCCACAACCACTCATCAGAAACAGTGAAGAAAATGATGAACTGACAGTTAATAAAACTTTGAAATTTTGATTAACAGAATCCCATCCTTCATAAAACACACACACACGACTGCCAAGCTTTCACCAGCACTGTGGGGAAGAACAAAATAACAGGGTTAGCAAGAGAAAAAAAAGTGTCTTTTCTTTGCAGCTGCCATGGAAACTACGTCTGCATAGAGAGAGAGAGAGGGGATGATGAGGAATTCATGACATTAAAGAAACATTGTTTCTGTTCTTGTTCAAAAAGAATGAGGTGACGTTCTGCCCTCTTCATGTTTGTGGATGTTTGACATCATTACAGTGAAGTCAGGACCGATGAGTCCAGTGTGCCGGCAAAGATTCATCACAGTGTTTGTAGTGGACAGAGACCCAAACTTACTGGATCTCAAGCCCGTCACTGAGCATTCTGGACGTCTCGGATTCAGAAATGAAATTCTACTGTCATTACAGTCAGCAGTTCAATATTAGCAGGCCGTGGCTTCTCTTTCAGCCACTGGCACAGTCGGTCTCAGTCCCTCTGGAGGCTGGGATTGGTTCTGACGAACTGACAGCTGACATATGAAGCACAGACGAGAATGCAGAGAAACGCTTGCATTCAGACACAGCATGAGCAAAACACACCCTGAAAGTGCGAAGGGCTCTGGGCTCCTTTGATGCTCATAACCAGTTAAAGTCAGTGAGAGAAAAGTCGCATACAGTCTGTATATATACTGATGGAAACATATATAGTATGTGTGCCTTGTATCTCTTCCATAAAGCACCAGGTATGCATGTACCATGTAGTGACTCTCATTTCTGCAAACAATAACGCTGTAGCAAGGCCATAACCGTGAACATTGAGGGGACAAGAACATTGCTAGAACTTTTTTTTGAGGCTGGGATCTATTGTAAAGTCATGCATTTGAACTACTTGCAAACAAAATTTTATTTTAAAATATGCACATTCACTCTTAATTGTCCTAATATGCCCAAACAGCTCTGTTAAAGTTTGTTGTCTCTTACATTCAATTACATGAATTAGCCCTATATAAATGATATAGGCTATTTTCAATTCAAAGCCGTCAAATCTGAGCAAATAAATAAATAAAATCTCACACTATTTTACTGTTAAAAGCTGAAGCGTCGTATTGGTTTGATTGGCCATCTCAAACATGTTGACATTGATGAGCATTGTTAGGCTGAAGTACAGCAGAGCTGCATCAATTTCATCAAATATCTGATTATTGGGGGTCCTTGTTGTGGTTTGAATCGACAACTATTTGCACAATCTTGAAGATTCTGTGGGAGCTGCGTTTAGGCGCCAGTGAAGAGTTGCACCAGTGCTTCTGGGATTGTGGGTTTGGCAAAATCTTAACAAGTTGTCCAGATTTTCCTTCAACTGCTCACATTTGTGTAGCATATTCAGCTTGGAGATCTAGTTCTGGTGAGCACAGATTCAGTCAGTCGCTTTGACCCTGATACTCGTCACCCTGTGATAAAGATTGTATGTGCCTGAACTGCATTATTGATGGAGCCAATTAAATTTAGATGGAGATTACAAGAGAAAGAAGCTTGTCTGCTCATCTCCGTCCTGACGGCTGAGGATTAATGGGATGTTTTTACTCAGAAGGTCTTAACACTCATCCGATGGCCGCTGAATGACTCCGACGGGGTTGAATCAAGCTGGATGTGGAAGATTTATGTGTGTACAAACACACAATATATTAATTTTGTTGCACACACAAATTCAGACACGGACTTCTCGATAAATGAAAAGAAAGGATGTCATTGGGTTGAATGGCTTACTTGATTTCGCTTTCTCTGATTCGGCTTTCGTCCAGATCCTCAATGAACTTCTCTCCCTTCATCCAGTAGATGAGAGGACTCACATCTCCGCTGTAGCCAAAGAAAGCTCGGCAGGTCAGGTTCACGGGGCTGCCTGCAAAAACACACATCACAACACAAGTCAATATATATTATCTGTGAAAGCAGCTTTCTAACGGAGCCTGGCCTGTGGATGGCTGTATGATTTGCTCTCTCTCTAAGAAACAGAAGCTGCAACAAAGATCGTGAGGGAATTTAGATTGACATCACTATAACCCTAAAACTGCCTCAACACTTTTCCAAAACTATACTAGACACACAATGTATATAAAGGAGATACTACACGCTTTAACATTAACACAGAGACTCTCGACTGAAGTAAATCAGTGTTTTCTCTGTGACAGCATGAACAACTGATGCTAATGAGAATCTACTGTTCTGCCCGTATGTGAAAATGAACCATCTCTGAATGCTGGAGTTTCCTCTCTGGGCCACTGGAGGTCACTGTGGTTCCATCTCTAACACAGGATGGATCCCAGCGGCACAAACACACCTTCCGCAGACATGTATTAGGGCAAATTTTTCAGTCTTTTGTACCGTGGCACACAGTTCAAAGCATCTGAAGCAGTGATTCAGCAGGAACGGCACTACTTACAGTCGGCCTGTGTTTGCAATCTTCAGAACAACATACACTGAAATTAAAGCTAGCTTCATGTCTTCATCTCTCTCTATATATTTATTTTAGATTTAAGTTGATACTGTATAATGAACATCTTTGTGTTTTATGTTTGTCAGCAGGGGACGAAACTAAAATGCCAACCCAAGATTCTGTTTAGTAGACAGCTTATAATTGAAAAGTGGATGCTTCCAGAAAAATCTGCACACAATTGTATTTCTGAGAAGCTCTTTGAACAAAATGCAAGTATTTTGAAATAAACTCAGACTGTCAGTTTTTTTTCCAATTGTATCCATTTAGCCTGAGATGGTTCTGCAAAATGTAGCTACGTACGTACCACCTGCGCTCAGAATCGTTCAGTTACTCATACATGTGACAAATGTCTGTTATAGTGCATGCAGGCGTGTTTTTGTATGAATTGGGAAATTGGAGCAAGAACATCCTAGTTAATCGGGTCTGTATGGCGTGTTAATTGTGTTTGTCTGTGTTGGCCTCTATTCATTCACATCCAGCGGAGAGGATCATCCAGACGGCTGAAAGCTGCTCTGCTCATTAAAACAATGTTGGGAACGTTTGTGCCATCATAATGCCATAACTGACCTCCTGCATCCAAAACAATTTACAGAGAAAGACAGAATGAATGAATGAACTGATGTGAAAATGTCTGTATAAACGGTGATGTGCCTCTGAGCAAGTATGTTAGTAAGGACTAAAAACCCAGCTAACAGAGAACGGTCTCACAACTTTCAACATTTTTTGAAAGTTATAAGAATTTTAGAACGAAACATTTTTAAAGTAGTTTATCTTTATTAATATTTGATATAAGTTCTCATAACATTTAGAGAAAAGGTTCTTAGAACAACATTTTTGGGAACATCTTTACGATGTTGTTTGCACTTGTTGAACATTCTCATAATGTTGAGAGAAAACAAAGTCTTAGAACAGTAAAAATAAACATTCAAATCATGATATCTTTTGGGTCAAATTAAAGTTTGTAAAAAGTTTGGACATTTTAACATTCTTAGACTATTCAAAACAATGTTTCAAATAATGTTTTATTTTGAATGAAAATAAAGTTAATGGAACATTGTAAGAAATATTTTTGTAACATTTAAATAATTTTATAATCACAAAAAAAAAAACTAAACAAAAAAAAAAACTGGACATAACAATTTAGAAACAATGTTCCCACAACGTTTTTAAAACCTTCTCTGTGTAAATGAGTTTAAATGGCAACTGGGCAGAGATGGATCATTGAGGATGGTTGTTATTGCCACAGTTTCCTTATTCACCCATAAACAAGAAAAACGTCTCTAGGTTACGTATGTAACCATGGTTCCCCTAGGGAACGAAACAAAACCCATGTCAACTGTTGACATGACTCGCTGGTTTTCCCCAAGTCAATCTGAGTAGCCAAATAAATAAGCTGTAGAAGGTGAATGTAAGCTGGCTTGTGGTCCGATGATGGCATGCGTTCCCAAAATATTCTGCTCCTTCAGTCAAGTCTCTCTCTCTGTTAATCTCTCAGAGTAGTTCAATAGCAACCAGCCGAGTAAAGACTGAACGCTGACCTGAACCCTCTGTGTGTTTGGCAAAAGCCATTACTGAGAAAGACAGAGACAAAGCGTCAAGTCATAACAGAGTTTGTGAATTCATACACTGACTCAAATGTCCACAGCAACAGCACCAGAGTCCCAGGTTTAATGCTGTCTGCGACGTTCCTCCTCTATCAGTCTGTTTAAATCAGAAATACAGATCAACAGATGCTCATCAGGCCAATTCACTGGGACTATTTTACCGAACTGACAGATGTGGCACATCCTTACACAGAAATACATTACAGCAACTCATATTTGTGCTTTTTCAAGCATCTGCAGGGAAAGATGATATTATTCATAAATCATGTACCTGTATTACTCTCCAATCAAACCATGAACAACAACGCTGAGCAGATGTGTGATGCATGCGCACACTATGGATTCATGAACGGTGTCATCAACAGAACTGTTTCATTTCAAATGGAATTCCTGCTGTCTGAAGTCATATTCCACTAGCTACTGTACAACATTATTATTATTTACACAGACAATCACACTAGTTAGGATCAAATCCAGCGGTGAACATATTCAAGGGACGAGTCTGGTTAATATGGATGTAATTTAAAACGAAACACTGCCACATACCTGGAGACAAACTCTTTAGGCCAGTTCACTCCAAGGACGATAACTATAAAGATATAGTTCTAAAAATCTTTCTCAGTATTAATGAATAGCAGAGTCCACACCGCAGCTATAACAATAAAGGCACGGTAGCACTTTATTTTACAGTCCTGTTCCTCATGTACATACTATGTACTTGTATTAATTACAATAACTAGGTAATAACTAGGCACTAACCCTGAACCTACCCCTAAACCTAACCCTACCCAATGTAATAATAATAATAATAATAATTTATGCATTTAGCAGACGCTTTTATCCAAAGTGACTTACAGTGCATTCAGGCTATACATTTTTTACCAGTATGTGTGTTCCCTGGGAATCACACCCAAGACCTTTGTTGCCGGGCGGCAGCTGGGAATTTTGCTCGTTGGAGCTCACTGAGCCCTGAAGCACCGAGGGTGGCAGGGTTATCAGTGACTCTCCGTGAGGGCACTGAGGAGGATCGGGCACCGTATACTGAGGTGTTATCCTTTCCTCCCCAGGTGGGGCTGCCCTCAGGGGCCTGACGATGTTGGCGTCAGGACCGCTTAGTCGAGGTCCTCTTCGACAAAATAACGGTCCGCAGATCCGTCTTCGGTCTAGAGGACCCTGACTGAGAGCGTCGCCCCGACCCCCGTTCTTTTTGCGGAGGGGTACGGGTTGCAACGCTCTGTTTTTGTGACTGGCGATATGAGGAGCCTGACGGCTGGGGCTGCTCCCGCTCAGCAGCCCCATGGGCCTAGGAGCGACGAGGGAGGAACCGTTGAAACGCCGCCGCTTGCTTTCTCGCCTCCTGGAACCTATCGACGACAGTATTAACTGCGTCGCCGAAAAGGCCAGAGGGCGAAAGCGGGGCGTCTAGGAGGAAGAATCTGTCCTTATCCTGCATATCGGACAGATTCAACCACAGATGCCGCTCCGTGGCCACCATTGCTGCCATTGAACGGCCGATAGCTCTGGCCGTTTCTTTGGTGGCCCGGAGGGACAAATCTGTGGCCCGACGCAGTTCAGCTACCACGTCGGATTCCCCCTCCTCCCTGTCATCCAGGTCCTTGAGCAGGTCAGCCTGGTACGCTTGTAACACCGCCATGGTGTGCAAGCATGCGCCAGCCTGACCTGCTGCCGTATAAGCTTTCCCAACCAGACTAGATGTAAGCTTAACAGGCCTGGTGGGAAGCTTCGGGGCCTTCAGGGACGATGCCGAGGATGGGGAGAGATAGCTCGCGAGCGTCTGCTCCACCATTGGCATCGCCCCATATCCCTTCTCGTTCAGCCCCACGATATTAGAATAATTAGAGACTGTGGGGCTATATATACGGGAAGAATACGGTTTTTCCCACGATCTTGACACCTCGGCATGGAGATCGGGAAAAAACGGAAGGCCCCGTCGTGAAGGCTGTGACCTCACTTTCAGCAAACGCTCGTCTAGTTTGCTCCTAGGACGAGCGTCCTGTTTCTCGGCTGGCCAAACGATATTTTATTTTGGCTACTGCACGAGTCACACCTCATACGCAAGGGACTGTGGTGGCGAGTCCACAGTCTCTGTCTCGACACTCATCACATCCACCTCCTCGGAGGAAGATAGATGAAGCGTCTGGCTCTCTCTCTCTGGGGGGGGAAGAAACCGCAGCGCGGGCTTCCGAACCCTGAGAGAGAGCCGCGGATCTAGCGGGTGAGGACCGAGAAAAGGACGAGCCTGTCTCGGATCCCTCCGCTAAATCCACTTGCGATCCCCATGACAACAGTCTGCGCTGTGCCTCGGCAACAGCGGGACCGCTGCCAGCGGGATCGCGAGCCTGGCCGCTCTCATCAAACACGGCCAGGCGAGAGCGGAGCGTGCGCAGCGAGAGCAGCTCGCAGTGATGACAATCAGCTGCTCGAAAGCTGACCGTGCATGCTTCGCTCCTAAACAAACGACACACAAATCGTGTGTATCCCCCGCCGCCAGATATTGTGGGCAGGGAGGAACACAGCGTTTGTAATGCCGTTCGCTCGCCATAGACTTTTTCATGATTGTTTTTTATATATGCTTGTGCGGACAGACAACAGTAAATAGACAGACACATACACAGAGCGCTACTGAAGAGCAGAAGCTGGTTTGCGCTCTGCCGGATGCGCTTTTATACTTTCTGGTGCTTATGTCACCCCGCTCGTGACGTCTCGCTACTCCATTGGACTGATTTGACACGTGCTTCAGAACGCGGTCACGCAGGGGCGTTCCCAAAGCAACTTCGACGCAGCTCGAGTTCCTGAAGGGGAACAACAAAACCCATGTCAACTGTTGACATGACTCGCTGGTTTTCCCCAAGTCAATCTGAGTAGCCAAATAAATGAGCTGTAGAAGGTGAATGTAAGCTGGCTTGTGGTCCGATGATGGCATGCGTTCCCAAAATATTCTGCTCCTTCAGTCAAGTCTCTCTCTCTGTTAATCTCTCAGAGTAGTTCAATAGCAACCAGCCGAGTAAAGACTGAACGCTGACCTGAACCCTCTGTGTGTTTGGCAAAAGCCATTACTGAGAAAGACAGAGACAAAGCGTCAAGTCATAACAGAGTTTGTGAATTCATACACTGACTCAAATGTCCACAGCAACAGCACCAGAGTCCCAGGTTTAATGCTGTCTGCGACGTTCCTCCTCTATCAGTCTGTTTAAATCAGAAATACAGATCAACAGATGCTCATCAGGCCAATTCACTGGGACTATTTTACCGAACTGACAGATGTGGCACATCCTTACACAGAAATACATTACAGCAACTCATATTTGTGCTTTTTCAAGCATCTGCAGGGAAAGATGATATTATTCATAAATCATGTACCTGTATTACTCTCCAATCAAACCATGAACAACAACGCTGAGCAGATGTGTGATGCATGCGCACACTATGGATTCATGAACGGTGTCATCAACAGAACTGTTTCATTTCAAATGGAATTCCTGCTGTCTGAAGTCATATTCCACTAGCTACTGTACAACATTATTATTATTTACACAGACAATCACACTAGTTAGGATCAAATCCAGCGGTGAACATATTCAAGGGACGAGTCTGGTTAATATGGATGTAATTTAAAACGAAACACTGCCACATACCTGGAGACAAACTCTTTAGGCCAGTTCACTCCAAGGACGATAACTATAAAGATATAGTTCTAAAAATCTTTCTCAGTATTAATGAATAGCAGAGTCCACACCGCAGCTATAACAATAAAGGCACGGTAGCACTTTATTTTACAGTCCTGTTCCTCATGTACATACTATGTACTTGTATTAATTACAATAACTAGGTAATAACTAGGCACTAACCCTGAACCTACCCCTAAACCTAACCCTACCCAATGTAATAATAATAATAATAATAATAATTTATGCATTTAGCAGACGCTTTTATCCAAAGTGACTTACAGTGCATTCAGGCTATACATTTTTTACCAGTATGTGTGTTCCCTGGGAATCAAACCCAAGACCTTTTGCGCTGCTAACGCAATGCTCTACCACTGAGCCACAGGAACATTGTATGTAGTTACCTAATATTACCAGTACTTTCTTGGGTAAGTACACTGTAAGTACACTGTAAGTACATGTAAGTACACATACTGTAAAATAAAGTGCAACCAACAATTTAATTGGAATCACTTTCACAATGATTTTTTTCCAGCTGATGAACGATAAAAACATTGACACCCAATCAGAATCCATCAAAGCAGCAGACAAGCATGCGCTGAGAATAAACAGACAATATTGTTCGCTGGTGTGGACGCTAATATTGTTATTTTTAAAGTTATCTTTCTTGGTGTGAACGGGGCTTTTTTTAATGCTAAAGCATGAACTAAAAACTTGTCCTGCCACTGATCTAGAATCAGCTTCTCTGTTCTCATTAGGAATAAAAGTGTAGATTTGGAGTGTGGAAACGGTTACGTTCAGCAGTTGTGGGCAGTGTTTTCCCAGAGCAGTTATCAGAAATCCCTATTAACATCTATGGCCAGGCAAAGGCTGAGCGTCATCCACCTCTGATCATCACCTTACACTGGAGAAAGTCCAGCCTCGGATGAACCTGCAGATCCCAACCCTCACACTGGGTTCGCCAACACCGCTCACGATACAAGACTGGCTTTACTTCTGTTGTCTTGTGCAGGTGTGGCTGTGTCTGGTTGCACGTGACATTTCTATAATGATTTAATTCCACTAACAACCATCCCCGGTTTAGTGGCCGTTCGCTTTATTGCTCTACTTTATGTCTGTCCCAGGCAAGAGTTTAAGAATTCAGATTGTACTTCCTAAAAAATTGCTTGTCTTAAAACTGTGGGCACTTAGGCCTCTCTCAATCCATTTAATTAAAACAATACTATAAATTACAAGCAATTCTATCAGGGGGAAGGTAAACCGAGAGGAAGCTAAATTA